TTCGGCAACAAAATCGCCTATTCATCTGGTCAAACACATATTGGAGTGAATAAATTGAAATGGTTTTTTCTTTCTCTCTCTCTCTCTCTCTCTCTCTCGATTTGTTCCTGGGGCGAGAATACTCTCTCATTTTGTCAGCTTTCGGTTATTATTTGATCAGCACTTGCCGTCACATATAGTTTCGTCACCCATTGGTTCGGCTTTCATCCGGATTTATGTTCTTGACACAAACTGATAGATATATTCGTTTATTTTGATCAAATCGTGTGCATGCATTCAAAGTGAACAAACTAGCCCGGGAGCCAATGGCCCATTTTGAAAATATTTGTATTGTTGTATCCACCTAGTTTTATTGATATTGCAGATTTGAATTGTGGATTCCACAAAAATTACCATTTTCATTTGGCTCCATTTTAGATAGATTATTCTATTAGTTTTTCCAGTTGAAAATTCGTTTGAAATCATCACATGCAAATTTCAACACTTTGCCAGGATTCTGTTTTTTCCATTTTCTGTTTTAATTGTTTGGCGTTCATTTCTTTTCTGTTCCACATTTTTCAATATATTATTTCATTCACATTGCCAAGTCCATTAAACCTGATGTATATTATGTGCGGGAAAAGTTTAATGGAATAATAAAAAAAAGACTTTTAGTGTATGCATACATTGGTGGCAGCAATGTCCTCAAATACAAATTAAGTGTTTTTTTTGTTTAGTTTTCTTTCATTTATACTCGGGCTTCCTTATTCCATTCAAGCACCATCCCAAAGAAGTAAGCTGCAGCAAGGAGCAGCTTGTGCTAAAACCGAAATCGAAATCGATGAAAATAAAGCATTGAAAATCGAATGTTGATGCTCAATTCCGGATTGTTCAATGTGTTTTTGATTTTCCCCAAAGTTGAAACTACGTTTTGTGTGAGAAAATTGAATTAACCAAGCCAAAAGTTCACTGCTGGGTAAATAAGGTTATTGAAAAGAATCGAATAAATAGAAGAGAAAAAAAATTCTGCTCACGTGCTCTATTTTCAACGTCGAGAAAGCCTCTCGCAAGAGGAATCTTTTTTTTTTGTTTTAATTTTATTACCATAACTTTTGTTTGTGCCATTTTGTTGGGAAAACAATTTAGTCGGTTTCCCATTACAGTATTGTCGGATATTTGGAACACGATTTGTGAATTTACGTGCTTTTGCAATGGTTCATTAGCTCGTTTGCAATGTAGAATGAAATGTGAGTTCGGGATAAAGGACGTATAGTGTTTGCATTTTCGTTTCGAAATATTTATTTTAACGTCGAATATAAAGAAAAAGTGGCAGTCAACTGAGTAAGAATAATAAATAGGTAATGGCATTGTAGAAATTAAAATTCTGAATTCAAATATGTGATATTTACGAAGATTCAATCAATAAAAAAATATCCTTCGACAACCATTCGAAGTGGTTCATAGTCCAATAATCTTTAAACACATAGAACGAAGGAGGAAATGGAAAATAAACAAGCTGCAATTGATTAAAAATACTTTTGATAACAGTGATTATGTTTGTAAATTTAAAAGTCATGGCCAGAAATCTGGCAAACATCCTCTTAGTGCTTTCTTGTGGAAAATGCTTAAACTTACTTTTGTAAACGGCATATCTATGGCATGCTGACTCCCCGACGTCCCTATATTCATTCTTCGTTGAATTTCGCTTCGGCACTATCGACACATCTATCCCGTTGGCGGTGAAGCTGCTTTTTCCAATTTTGTGTTTGTCGGATGCACTTCAATTGAAAACCAAATGCTTTTAGATTCAAACGACAATCAAGTCGATCGATGACAAAAACAATATTTAAATACTAATGTTTGTTCAGGGTAGTGCATTTGTGCACGTCAATTGCAAACTCGGGCAATTTCAGTTCGAAGAATAATAAGATGCTGAGTTTAAATGGCATTTCAAATACAGGGTATCGCACTATAAACGTTACAGGAGCCAAAGTACATGTTTTATTTTCTCATTATTATACACTGATGCTTTGTTCAATCGGTAGTCAATAGGACAAGTGTTCAGCAATGTGAATAACTGGAACTAAACCTCTAAATCTTCGCGAACACATTATGGTTAAAACATGAGTGTCAAATGTCATTGATTTCACAGGGTGTGGCAACAAAATCGAACAAATGAGCTCTTGAACGAAATGAAAACAAATAGTTTTTTTCTCTATATTTTTGAAAAATGAAATGTATTCCAGTCCGCATGTAAAAAATCAAAGACGAAGCAACCTCCCCAGGCCGTGAATGCTCAAAATTTATAAGAGAGATCTTACACTTGTGTTGTTAGTAGGTCTTGAACGACCTAGATGTTTTCTGGAGAATATCTATAACTCTAAATGAGTTTTTTTATAAAGCAACTCTAATAATATGGCACTATACTAAAGTATACAGTTGGAATGAGAAAAAGTTCGTGGCTATTCATGGGCACGAAATAATGCCAAAATGAGATTGGAAATCAACGGACAATATTCTTGAAGAGAATCATGGACATTTATAAACATCGACATATGTATTAATATGGTGTAATCCTGTGTGCAGGGCACAAAAGGCACCCAAGTAAAATGAGTAGCAGCCACTTCGTTGTATATGGCGGAAAGCAACTGAAACCGGCTAAGTTGATTGGATTCAAACATTTTGTTTAGAAGCAATCACGTTAAGTTATACTCTTGGCCAGACGACTAAGTCATTTTGACTGACCATTAACTATGAGGTGACTTAAAGCTAACTACGGTCGTCTATTTTGTTTAAGATAATCATTTTAGCTAACCAAATTGTCCGAAATTATTCGACTAGCTACTCAGTCCAAATATTTTTACAAGGGACGCGCATTTGGTGGCCATATATTGGATTCGTTTGTTTTAAATTGAAGAACGGCATTCCAAAAAAGCTCGACAGTGCCCAAATTTACCCAGCAATGTTGTCTAAACATGAAACCCGTGTTTCATAATCAGCTAATTCGATTGGACGAACTTAAATTTGTTCGCGTTTTTCGTCACACGACGAAAAAAAAATGCAGATTCGAAAGATGTAAAGAAGATTATGCATAATTAGGCCATGGCAAACAGAATCCAAATTATTGAAGTTCATCATAAAGCTACAGCAAAGTAAGCTTAATTGATTACGAGTTGTTTACCTAAAAAAAAATTACGCTTGTCTGTAAATTTTCCGTAATAATCAAGATGGTTTGCATTCGTAGGCTTAGAACGTTCCATACGCCAGCATGTCGCCCCGCATCTAAACAGCATATCTACTCTTGGTCTTTGTGAATTTAAAAAAAGGTATATTCAAGTTAGCAATGGTGCAATAACAAAGCTTCACACATGTTTCAGCTATTGTATGGCGAGGAGCCTAGCTCTACATACATACTAAGCATTTCGGAATTTAATTACAGAAGTTACATGGATTAATAGACATAGGCAACAAGAGCAAACGCATTTTGCAGAGAGTGTTGAAGCCCACAAGAAGCGATGTTGTTGTAGATGACAATGGCGAAAAGCTGATTTCGGCAAACAATGTTTTGCTACAATTTGCATTTGCAATTTATTTCGTTTGGAGCTCAACGAGCGAGCTTCCAATCGGGGATGAGTGGAACACAGGGCCTTTTTTTCCTATGTAAGAGGTCGTGCAATGCACGAGGGCGCTAGCGTCCAAAGAGCGCAACAATTCGGGTGCCCACGAACAAGTTCGTTTAGTAAAACACACAACAATGGCCTATTCGTGGCGCTCTTTGGACGCTCGCGCAATATTTCAATTGTTTGCACATAGCGCCGGAGCAAATTTTCTGCTCACTTGATCATGAAAATTTGCTGAAAATTTTTCTATTCTACATGAGCGCCCGAATACCTTCAGAGACTTTTCTACCCTGACACAAAGCTGTGTAATGAACAATGCAGGCCCAGAAATTGAAATAATAGATCATTTCTAGGGGCGCACATAGAAAATTTGCACAAGGGCGCCAGAGGAGTGAAAAAAGGCACTGGTGCAACACGTTTACTTCGCATCGGTACCATCGCAATGGCGCGCAATATCGAATGGTTGCACTGTATGTGCATTTGACGTATTTTGGCACATAGTGATTGTTTGATATGCTTGCATCCAGTAGGAAATTTGCTCTGACGAAATTGAACAATTCATGTTACAAAAATGCTAATCCACATACGGTGTACAAAATATGTTTGCATATGCATGCGCATGCAATGCCGATGTACTGTATGAACGCCGGATACGCCATTTTCATACGATACACAACAATAGATTCATACAATCAATAATTAATTATGTTAATTTTTTTCTTTCGTTGTATTTTTGTTTGTTACCTAAATCGATTTCTTTGATTTTCTGTTTTGGAAACGTGCATACCTCCTAGTAATTTATCTGGAATTAAAATTGATAGAATGAATTCGTATGCATTTTGTTTGGAACTTGACGTTGAAAATCATTGTTATTGTTTTTTTTTTCTCGTGAGTTCAACTTTTGGCTAAATATAAACGCGATATTTTTATACAGCGACAGTGTTTTAGATTAGCGAATACAAAATTTTATGCAGCAAACTCAAATATAGTTTAGAAGAGTGGCACAGCGATGCTGTCGCACGCAAAAAGGTCGCTTAACTTTATTAAGGCAATTGAAGCCTTTTATATTATTGAAAGGGAGACGCATTCGATAGACATGTTGATGGAACGCGTGAATATTGCGATGTTGCTCTTCTGAACCATATTGCAATGAAGAATATCCATATATCCTTCAAGTACGACGAATTGATGTCCCTTTTTTAACAATTCGCTAAAGTCTGTCATTTATTCTAGACGGTCCATTTCTATTTGGCCGAAAATACTAAAAAAAAATTGCTCATACATAAAAACCAAACGATCCGACGATCTGACAATTTTCCAATTTTCATAAAAACAAGTAAACATATCATATTTTGTACAATGATTGCAAACGTGTTAATTTTGTTCAATTTTTCATTACAGATAAACGGCAATAAATTGAATTCGATAAAAATGAAGTCAACGGCGGTTCAGCTTGCATTCCTTCTCTCTGCCATATACAATGTCAGTGTAGGTGCGTTGGCCAATTGTCCCGGTAGCTGCAAGTGTGATGAACAGAATTTAATGGTTAACTGCGGTGAAGGTCAATTGGATGTTCTCCCTATAGCGCTAAATCCGTCGATAAAACGTCTAATTATACAAAGGAATAAAATCAAAACGATTGATTCGTCAGTGCAATTCTATTCGGAATTGGTATTTCTAGACTTGAGCTATAATCATCTATTCAATGTCCCACCGCGCACGTTCTTTTACCAGAAAAAATTGAAGGAGCTACACTTAAATTACAATAAAATCGGGGCAATTACGAATGAAACGTTCATCGGTTTATCGTCATTGGTGTCATTAAATTTAGGCGATAATTTTCTAGATGAATTGAATGCAAACGTTTTTTCAACACTGCCAAAACTGGAAGAATTGAATCTGAGCAAAAACCGTATCAACCGTATAGACGCTCGAACATTTAACGGCCTATTAAGCTTACGCGTATTATATTTAAATGATAATTCGCTATCAACGGTACCTAGCGAAGCCTTTACACCACTTACATCCCTTGCTGAACTGTACATCGGTATTAACGTGTTCACAACAATCGAAAATGGTGCATTTGAAAGATTGAGTGGGCTTAGTTCACTTGACTTGAAAGGTGCTGGTTTGTCGAACATATCGATCGAAACATTCCGTGGTCTTGAAAGCAGTTTGCGTAAACTGGACATATCAGATAATCGATTGCTGCAAGTACCGACAACCGCTTTAAATCATTTCCATCGGCTCGAAGAATTGATGCTTGGACAAAATAGTTTCGAAACTATACCGAGTGGTGCATTTGCTGGTTTTACCAATTTACGCCATTTAGATATAAGTGGATCGCCCAAGCTTCGTTCCATCGAGAACGATGCATTTGCCGAAAGTCCAAACCTAGAAACGCTATCTATTGTTTCAAATAAAGCACTGTTTGACATACAACCGAAAGCCTTTAGTGGGCTTCTCCATTTGAAAAGCATAAATTTACGTGATAATGCGCTTGCCACAATGCCAGAGAATTTAGTGAAATGGGATGAACTGAACTCGTTCGATATATCCGACAACCCAATCGTGTGCGACTGCAATATTTTATGGTTGCAAATACTGCTAAATGCGCAATCGAATACTAGTCAAACATCAATCGATAATGTTCTATGTAGTTCGCCGGAGAATGTGCGCGATCAGCCGCTTCGCACGTTGCCATTAAGTGTCATCGGCTGTAATAGTGACGACGCTAAAAAGCAAGCAATGTTGGGCATTTTGCTTGTTACATCCGTAGCAATAGTCACTATTCTTTTATTGCTTCTTTTCCGATGCCGACGTCAGCTGCGTGAAGTGTTCAAAGGTCGATGGGGAGATTCGTCGCTAGGAAATAAGGAACGTGAATATCAGAAAACCTTTTCCGATGAAGATTATATGCATGCCAGTGCACGGCATCTTTCGCACGCACCTTGTACGCTTAGCTTACATCAGCCAACATCGAATTATACACATCAATACCATCAGCCAGGCATAAGACCAATACCGGTTACTGAACTCTAGCTAGAAGCCTCTCCACCTCCAATGCGAGGTGGCCTAACATACAATCAACCACAAGATATGAATGATATAGCGAGCCGATCAGCCGTTTTCATTCAACTCAATCAAAATCATTTACTACAAAATAACATGATCGTGGCGAAAAACATTCATGCAACACTTTCTCCGACCATTTGTGATGCAGCAGTACCAAATAAAAAATTGTACAAAAATGAAGACATTCCATTAAGTATTTCAGCATCGTTAGCAAAGCAATCATCACTACCGCGAACGCGCGTAAGAAAGAATAATCACGTCAACAACGCGAAGGAGTACGGTATTATGAATGCGGGGCCACAGCAACAACAACAACAACAACAACAACACCACCACCAGCACAACAACGGCAATGACGATGAAATCGAATACACACACAACAATTCCAATCAGCACGTCCACTATTCGACGATGAACGCAAATGGCAGTAGAGATTATTTAAGAAAAACCACTGGTCATTTGCATCGCAATATAAATAATAATAGTACCATAGCATCGACAAATCGTTACCGCTGGCACAATCAATCAGATGAAATTGCATTGCAATCGCTGCGAAACAATAGCATGAACATTGTGGCCACTACCGAAACTGAAGCAATAACAATGCAATCCAATCATCGTTCGCATGGTTCGAACCGCAAGCAACATCATTTGAATCAAATTAACAACAATTTCATCGTGCCGAATAAAAAGCAATCGATTCATAGCACGAATGACGATCCACGTTCTATTGACCAAAATAACGGAAATAATTATCCGTCTAGACTTTATCACTGAATTGCTCGAATTCTTTTAACGCAAAAATTTGTTGGAAACTAACGCAGTTCAGGTTTTCCATACATATGTTTTTAAGGGGAATAGTCATGTGTTTCGACTTTTTAGCACCATATAGAGAGAAAGAGAGAAAATCGCTTAGAAATTCTAATGAACGAATGAACTCGCGAATATTCGTATTGATGAAACAATTTTCTATGCACCTCTACTTAATTTCACGTTTCAACCTTTGTTACTTTCAGTGTTTATTCTTCGAGATTCTTCTCTGGTAATTCAGCACAAAATCAGTTGCGATTAAAAATTATTCTGTATATGTGTTAACACGAAATTTAGTCAGTTTACAATGGAAAAGCAATGATTTCAAAATTAAATTTCGATTAAGAGCATCATGCATGAAAAAAAAAATCGAAAAGCTATTTAATGGTGGAAATATATAGTATAAACAATAAATTGAAAATGTGATTTAAATTTTAAATATTTTTAAACGACTAGAATAAGGTTTGGATGATACGATTCTAAATTCACTCTTCAAATATACCCAACTATGCAAGGGCGGGCCCAGAGGGGGGATCAAGTGGGGCGGTTGCCCGTACCTTCGTAGAAAAAAACCAAAAATGTCCTCGTTTTTTGTTCTCGTCGCTCCTCAAACAAAATTATCAAACCATTTGTTCGAACCATATGATATTTCTAATATGTGAGCGCAAGTTTGAAAAAAAAAGAATTAAAAACGAGGACATTTAGTATTTTTAAACTTCCAGATAACTTTCTGAAAAATTGATTTTGGTTGCAGAAACGAGGACGTTTACCGAAGAAGAATCGAAAAAATTTTTTTGAATATATTTTGGTAAAAGATATCGTTTTTGCATCAAAAATCGGATGTATTCCACAATTCCTTCGCTTTTTCCAATGAAATTTGATTATTTTGAAAAATACGCCCGTTTTTTTATTCAAAAAACCAAAATATGAAAATATGTTCCCGGTTTTTCGATTGAAAAGAAAAAAACAAAATATGTCCTCGTTTTTGAACTAACTTTGATTTTGCCCCTACCTTGACAAAATCCTTGGTACGCTCTTGCAACTATGAAACTTTAATTTTTATAGTAAACAAAGTTTACAACAAATGAATTAAAGTCTACGAATCGTTAAACTATCGTTTCCAGACAAATGTATGAGAAACCTTGGTGCAACGACGACTTTCGGTCTCCCAAATCATCCTGTATTTGTATTTAGTTGATATTTTGTGCTTCGTTTCATTTTTTTTTTCTGAAATCAACGACAGAGAAAAGAGTGTGACTGAATGCTGTCAATCTTGGTTAAAATTTTGGTGCCATTTTCTGGTTGATATCGATAAAATTCGAAATAAAATATGGACGAAGATGTTGTGATCATTATTCATCAAAGGATTTATTACTTTTATTCCTCTAATTTTGATAAATACACATATATTTCGTAATTTTGAAGAAACAAATTTCAAATGGCCGTATGCGTTTCATGAGCAATTCATTAACATAAACATAAATAAAATTGTTCCACATCAAAATTGCAATATGATTTAATAAGGTAAACATCATCTATCGCAAGATGACTCTGATGAGTTTAATAAGAATACAAATAGAATCCATCGTCAATGTTAATATTGCACATATGAAGATTGCTAATAATAATAAATTCACAAAATTATAAGATTAGTTAACGCAAATAGGACATAAAGGCGTCGCACGCAAAAGTAAGGCTTGAAACAGTTATTACCACACAAAAACCGAATATATATTTTGCTATGTTGTAATTGTGGCTTTAAAATCGAAACGCGAACATATTAGGCATCACTGTGTAACAATTTCAATGGGCTGCTTTTGTGTCCAATGTTTTTTTGGTCGTATTTGCTGACAAACTTATAATGTTGTGTTCTAAATGTGTTACATAAAATAACAGCTACTTATGTCCGATACTTTGATGAATATAGCAGCTCTCAGTCCACAATAGAATATTTTCAATGATGGCACCATAAAAGCCACCACAAATGAGCATACTATTAGATTGTTACTTATTGCCAACAAATAAAACAATTTAGATTAGATCAAATACGGGATTGACAAAATTGCAAATGTAAATAGTAGAATGCGAAATATCTTTTCATTCAACATGTATTTCACAAATACCTATTCAAAACTAAACAACAAAAAAACAAATTTTAATGATGTACATACGTAATGAATGTTTTAGTGGTCATTTCACAAACGTACACTGTTTTTTGCTACTAAATTATTTTAAAATATAGATTGGAAGAATTCTTTGCCAATCTTCTAACTATATTGAACAATTTTAAATTATTTGTGTGACACAATTTCCGACTTAGATATTGAAAATAAATAACAAATCAAATGACTAAATAAAAGCCACATGAAAATCTATTCAGCCATAAGAAAAGCAATTATACTGCGATTGTTCCGGCAATCGATGTCCACTTAAGCGATTGAATCAAATAAATTTGAATAAACAAAATGAAACAAAGAAAAAAAACGATTTTTTTATCTTTCGTTTATCGGCAGTATTATTTTGAAATAGATTGCAGCCTCTATGGAGCTACCCATGGTAAGTTGGCCAAGAAGATAAGCTTATTATGTGGTTTTTGTAAACAAACTGTAACATACATTAATGTTCTCAACACTTTTTGTGGTTAAGCTTTCGCGTGTGTCAAATTTCAATCCATCATGATTGATTCCATAGACTGAATGATGGAGGTGGTTGGCAATTTTTTTTCTGCAGGTTGCTGTCTATGCTAAACATTTTCAGGCATTTTTGATCATATATGCACATGAATGGAGACGTCATTGTTTAATTTCAATGTATTCTTTGATAAATGAACCTGCAGAAGCTCGAAATACTTGTAAAGTGGCGTTTGGTTTGCAAAAAGCCAAACTGATTCGAAAAAGCACGGCAAAAAGTAAAAAGAACAATTTTTTTCATTTACTCTTTGTATTTTAACTGTGAAAAGCTCTGAAATGAAATCGAGAACGAATATGATGATTATGATTAGCTTTAAATACGGAATGCAAATCCAAAATCAGTTGGAATCGGTTTATTGTTCGATATACTATAGGCCTAGAAAACTTACTGATTCTATGATAAGGTTCAAGTATTTGTAGTTCATAAGAGATTTTATGAAGAATCACTGCGCGTAACTAGCCCGAGGTATATGCACACTAAAAACAAATCAATTAGAATGATATAAAAACGATTATGAATCAATATTCAATATGCTAATGAATAGTGATACTCACCTACGAGGTATTTTATATGATCCGACTAAGCCCCGTACTTCGGACAAGGCCACAATACTCAAAGCCCAGCAAAGTAACAAAACGTTACAATTATTATTGTTTGAAAACTTAATCCTACATCAACTAAAAACTATTCTTCATCGGACACGTCGTCGAGAACGTAAACGTAATCATCGTCGCTGTCGCTATCGTTGTCATCTTGGTCGCCTTCGGCATTGTTCTGCGCGGCTGCAGCTACTGCATGATGTTGTCTCGACAGTTGCGGATGCACATCCAAGCCCTTTATCATACAAAGACCTGAAACAACCGAAATCACAAACAACAATTGTTAGCCAGAATATTTCACTTTTTTTTTCAATGTATGATACATACCTTTGTACAATATGCACTTGGCAGCGACTTCATCCCGATGCCAAACAGTGTTCTGTTGATGTGGATGACGTGAATCGTTCCATGTGTTATCAGTGTTTAGCTGCCAGTTTTTGAACCATACATTGAGTTTCGGCACTAAACCATGTGAATACACTGGATGTACATTCAATCGTTCATATTCCGCAACAACATGTCGTCGCTCTCGTTGATACGACCGGTTGCTTTTCTTGCTGATGATCACACTGCTCAGGTGTTTGTCAGTCGTGATGTTTGCTGCATGTGGAATGCACTGACGGCAGACTTTGTAGCGGTCCTTTTTTGTACGTCGATCAAATGGCCGAAAGCACTTTGCACACGTCTGCGATGTTTTGTACTCGTCAACCATCACCACCACACAATTGTGCAGTTTCTTGAAGCTGTTCAGTAGTTTCCGTACTCCGTACCAGGGCACCGCAACCGTTTCTTAATACCAATTGGCGAATTTGGAGCCATTTGAGCTGCACCAAGGAAAATGAGCGATGGCAATTTTCTGGTAAAAAAAGCAGCGATGGTATCACTTGCACGGGTCCCCTCGATATGTTTATCGAGATTGAGGCGAATGTATTTGCGTGCTGTGTAAACCTCCATTCCAGGCTGCAACATTTTCACACGATGTTCGATGTAACTCATCCAATTTGAGGCTCCCTTGGGCGATGGATAGAATGGATATTGATTTCGGTCATGTTGCTTCAATTCGGTGAACAATCGTAGCCATTTTTCCGATTTGCGCTTTCGTTTGCCATATTTCGCTCGAAAATGGTATCTCGGACCGTCGATCGTGATGTTTTCCTGTGTGAAATAAATAAGAACAAAGAATCATGATTATATGCATATAAAAGAAATGACTGACAAAACAAACAAACAAATCATTGTTACTCACTTCCACACCGGATGCGATATGTTTTCGCACTGTGGCATTCCAGGTTCGCACACCAGGGTCCATGCCAAGCACGAAGCGGAAAACACCATTTTCGTACATTTCGTTGATTTGCTCGTGCGAATATTCGTGTGAGGGGCATTCTGGCTTCAGGAAACACAACGAAACAGCCACACTATCCGTCACGATTGCGTGGTCAAATGTCTTGCGATTGCCGACTTTCTGAATCTTGTCCATGTTGAATATTGTGTCCCAGGACACAAATGGATTGCTGTCGTAGACCTTTTTCGAGATGTTAATCGGCTGGCCAAACAGTCCTTTTGCCAACTTGATGGCACCCAATTTGCATGCCATTGAATAGAACAGATGAATATCGATCTTGATGTGCTTCATCTTGAAATCATGAATCGGAATTACACGAAAGTTTTTTATTTTCGGTGGGCGTGCAATGGATGGCATGGCGTTGTGTAATCGATCCCGATAATATCGGCGCCAGAGATCATTCAAGAGCTCGTATCTTTCATGGTGGTTGAACACTAGCCGTTGAATGGTGATGAATATCGGTATTGTCTGGAACCAACTACCACGGACGAGATCACATAACTTCGTACCGACTGGTATTCCGATCATACGCGCTTGCTCGAGCAGCCGCACCACATTCGCACTTGGTACTATATTGTTGAACATAACTGATTTGGTGGCATTTATCACATCGATGTCGCTGATGTTATGGCCAAGCAAATTGAGCTCATACCGTTGCAGCACGAAAAACGTTTTGATACGGGTGTAGCACCACGTTTTGATGTTGTTCTTGACATTGGTGGTGTATTGATCAATGAGCTGATTGAATGCGTTTCCCATGCCTTCACGTTGTGGCCATCGGAAGTTTGGCACTGCTGTTTCGATTATTTGGCGGAAGGCCAACGGCAATTTGTGTCGGTTCTCGTTCAAAATGTTCTTGAAGCAATCCTTGATCAATTCGTATCCATTGCCTCTGAAGAAGTCATGGTTATCTTCATCGAATGCTCGGTTGTTCTCGAAGAGAAACAACAATGACGCCAAAACGGTGATGACGGTGGCTGTGTGGCACCAATTGTTGACTTGTGCCACAAAATTCGCGCGATATTGATCCCGGAGAACCGAATTCAGCGATAGTTTGACCGATCTCGGTCGCCCGTTCTGGGCCCGCTTTCTCTTCATGCTCACCAAATTTGATCTAATGAAAATGAAAATGAAAATGGTGAACAAATTGATTAGAATTATTGCACTTTCGATCAAACACTGACTAAATTAACAATTTGTTTTGGAGAAACAATCAATGAACCATCAATACAACAATCAACTTGCCTCAACGAATTCTGACACCAAACTGACCATGCAATGCTGAAAATCGAATATTGTGCTCTTGTCGTTGTGCAAATGTCCTGTTAGTCAAAA